GTCTTAGCCTATTATTATGAAATGTTTTCATGTCGGTAAACATTTTTTCCTGTTGAAATATGTCGTCGGTGACGGTTAGCGTATGGCCTTTCGACTGTAATGCAAGCTTCAGTACTTGCAAAATTTAAAATACAATACAAAATGATGGGTTGATTTCTTTATTAGAAAAATGTATGCAATACGCTTTTTTTTGACAGTTTTTACCCGAAAAGATATGAAATAAAAAATGGGGAGCTGAGGTCGTCTGTTCCTATGAACAAATAGGTCACTGTAAGAGTACACTATATTATACTTTTCAATCACGACGAGACTGCACCTTGATGTGGTGTGATGGCTTTTGCACCTCTATGACCCAACGAGCTACACAGGATGGCTTTTATCAAGCCAAAGACCTAATCATGTCTGGAAGATCAATGGGTAGAGGTCAGACAAAGTCCAGTCTCCCGGTCCTCCAGGTTGGGGGTTCGACTGGAATTTGCGTTTCAGTCGGAAAAACGCGTGGGAGGAATCATTGATCCAAGCTAATGGNCTCCAATCCGCCTTAAGCGCTGAGATGCGGTTAGTTTCTTGTCAGAAATGAAGCCTTTGGCTGAGAACCCTAATAGTTCTCCTGCTTAGTGGCTGGACACCCTGGCAGTACCCGACCATAAAGCTCCAATGAACACACAATCTGAAAATAATTTCATACTGCATCGGTCGTCGCGCAGGATAATCAGGACCTCGCTGCCCATTGCATCGAGCGGGGTGGGTAGTGATAAGTGGGCTACTGCTCAGATATCCCAACCTTTGTTTAACTCCTTGTCTTCCGTGCCCAACCTTATTCCTTCACCCTTTCTTCCGATCTGCAACATTCCCTCAGTCAACTTAGTCATCACTCGCCAAAGGTCGTTGCCAAATAGCACTGTAACTAGTTTTCTGTAAATAAAGTGCAAATTCTGAAGCCTTGTCAACCTCTCAATCTGGGGGGCTATCAACGTGAGGACTCTTATGCAGGTGGGTCAACAGGC